AGAGTAAAAAGATATCCCCATGCCCCATGCCATTTACGCCGTCATAGTTCATTAATCGCTCAATGATGCCTCTGTGGTGCCACAAATGTTCCGCTTTGCCTCTGTAATCTAATTTTCGCCGCTTCCGTACCGTCATCTGCAGTCGCGGCTTCCTTAAACCACGGATGTTGAAGCGCCTCCTTGGCTGTAATACGTTCGTTTGGATCATAGACAAATATCTTTCTCAATAGATCTAGGAAATTCTTGCTAAATTTCGACTGATCCTTAATAATTTCCTATAATTTCATGAGTAAGGGTTGCTAAATAACATTTGGAACAACTTACATGTAAGGGTTTCATCGCCTTCACAAATCGCCGTGAAGCCCTTGTGGTGTCAGCAGATGGGTACTCAAGTCTCAAGCGCTTGAAATATCTGAGAAATTACATCAGTATACACTCTCTAGGGAAGATTCTAGGGTACTCACTTTTGAGCTGGATTTCCTCCGTTTCGCTTTGCCATAGTGTTGACTTGTTGAACGAGATGGCTATCTATTTTTTTATCGACTACCGCTTCCATCATGGCCAGATGCTCCAGGTTGTCATGTGTTTGGAAGAGGGCGTCACCCGTAAAGAATTCGACAAGTATGCATCCAATACTCCAGATATCGCAAGGGAAAGACCAACCAAGACCAAGAATGATTTCAGGAGCTCGGTAATGACGTGTAGATACGACAGATGAGTGATATTCATCCTGAAAGGTTGCGGAACCAAAATCAATGAGTCGAATTTCTGTATCCAGAAGAACTTTACGCTGTGCCGCTTGTCGGGTAACTGTGGTTGAAGAAGACGGAATTTTGCGGCTGTATGTAAAAGCTTGATATGCACTGTTGCATAATAAGATATTCTCTGGCTTGAGATCTGTGTGAATTAAGTTTAAGTCGTGGAGAACTGGTCCAGTGTTAGCTCGTGGCTTCTTATTAATGGCAAGATACTTACAAGCAACACTCGTAAATAACTGTCGCGCAAAATGTTGGATCTGGGAGTTGGGAAAGGGTACGAAGGAATTGCCCTTCAAGAAATCGAAAACGCTCTGTCCCAAAAGATCCATGACTATACATATGTGCCCTCTGTAATCGAAACAATCCCGTAGATGTATACATCTATTCCGGTTCTCACGATCATTTGCTTTGAGTGTTGAGAGGACTCGTAACTCGATTTTCGAAGCATCCCGATATTTCTGCACAGAGCGAATGATCTTGATAGCAACACACTTATCATTGTGAAGATCTTTAGCTTGTACAACCTTTCCAAAGGTTCCTTGGCCAAGTAATTTCTGAACCTGGTCTAATTCCTTATTAGTCTGTTGAAGGGATTGAATGGACCCATGGAAACTTACATTGTGTTGTTAGGTTCGTTTCTGGAACAACGATATAATGTCCATCGTCATCGTCGATTTTGGTATTTTTAGTGTAAGAATTCTTCACATATGTTAGCTCTCAATCGTACTATGGAAAGCATCAAGACTTACATCCGCAATCGGTCGTACTGGGACATCGCGAGATTTTATGGGTGGCTTGGGAGGCGGTATGTAGTTGGTGAAGGCATCCCCATTGATTTCCAGTTCTTTCCTCTTCGCTTCATTCGCAATCTGCAACCGAGTATTGGTCCTTTTCCTCTTCTGCCCTATAACTTCCGCAGCCTCATACCCATTTTGCCCATTGGATGAATGTGAACCAAGGGATGTAGCGGCTGTTGTATGAATTGCTGATGTTGTGCGATCGGTGGATATCGTGGAACCAGAACCCGATCCTGATTTGTAGTGTGGACTCGGATCGATCGAGGGGTCAAGTTGGTATACGGGATCATATGCATCATTGCGTTTTCTCTTCTTCGCCGCATGGCCATTATTCGCTGCCACGGCAGAATTGTTGGCTTGTTGATGCGAAGAAACGTCCAACGATGGTTCTGGGGATTCAGAACTATCGATAACAATTACCTCTTTTGGTAAACCATTCTCGTAGAATTTATCCCAGTCTGGTTGTCTCTCCTTGGACCTTTGTCTCTTGTGCGGGGGAGGCGCTTGCGACGAGGTAGAAACCATGGCTGCGGGCTTTTTCGGAGACTTTTTAGACTCGGCTTTCGCAGGGTGTGAGGGTATTTGAGTCGACTTTGGAAGAGGAGCTACACTCGACGATGTGCTATTACTCGACGAGTTGGTCGGAAGGGTGTAAGAGGTGCCCAGACGGCTATTTCCGTTCAACAGACCGTTGCTCGCTCGATATTGGTGGTTTGATTGATAATTCTGATGATGTGAGTATCCGTAATTGGGATGATGGGGAGGTAAAGTCGATGGAGTCGACATGGCACAATGGCAAGAAGTAATCGTTTCGACCCTGGGGTGGGCTCAGACGTTATCACGTCCAAATATTTGAAGTCTTTGGATGAGTAAGATGAATTCTCGAGATCCAAAGGATCAGATCATCGAGTCCAGTACGGTAGGGTATGAGTTGATTGTTGTAATGTAGAATAAATGCGCGATGATGTATGAAGGAGTTGACGGTTGACGTTGGAAGTGGATGATGGATGATGGTCAAAGGTAATTCTTTCTATCTTTCCGACCGTATCGCGCTGGGTTCGAAATGTCAAATACGCGACATTTCTCGAAAGAGAGTTGAATATATTGACTTGATAGGTAAATTGGAAGGGTTAATTTTCCAAGGGCAAGAAAATATTGTTGAATGTCTTCGATAAAGTTGGTTGCTCTTGGAGAATTCGAAATAAGAACTTCTCGTAGTTTTCTGAACTTGATGGAACTGGGGTTTCTTGCGGGTTTGGTTCAAAGATCGCTTATGACTAGCAAGTATGATTTTCAAGTAAAATGGAAGTAATTGAATTGGGTGGTAGGAGTAGTGGAACAACTGTACTCGGAAAACTATCATGATGGGATTCACTGGATTCATGAATGAGGGACGATTGGAGCCAGTTTGGCCGTTGCTTCAATTTCTTTTTCTTTTTTCTTCAATCTATGTATCTACCTAGGTAGGTAGGTAGGTAGGTAGGTAGGTATTTCTTCCTCTCCTTCTTCCTCTCCTCCTGCATCATTTCTTCCCTCATTTTTTCATCATCAAAAATGACAATATATCGAGTTATCTCTCTACCCAATCGAGCCAATGCATTCATTACCCATGGCCAATGAATGATCAAAGAAAAGTGTCTGTTTATGGTCCGTCTATATCAAATGATAAATTTTACCTGCTCCGGACTAGGGAGGTCTGCTATCTCATTCACTCACTCATGATTGAGGGGATCTCAATTTAGGAATAACACCTAGGTACAGAGAAAAACGGGTCGAACGATGATATTGTCTTGGGAATGGATCTATTTATTCACATCATTGAATTGAATTGAATTGAATTGACTTGTTGAAATCTATTAATCTCTCATATATTAACAACTACCTAGGTATGGTAATATATCTATCTATCTATCTATCTACCTATCTACCTATCTACCCAGTACCTATCCACGTACTCACCATGTAAGCAGGTGACATTTTCCCTCATCATTCATTCATTTACTCTTTGTACCTTTCTTTACCTTTCTCACATACCGACTGACAAAGTACTCCAGCTACTGTAGGTATCATCCATTCCCCTCATCTCATTCTCCAAAGTCAAGACTCAAAACCCTTTTGTCCCTTGTCCCAAGAGAGTTACACTTTCATGCCAACCTGCTCTCACGTCAATACAAAGATGTTTGATTCGCCATCCTCCATTTCCCCTGTATCATACGTTCTGTCAGTATGTAGGATAGCTAGCGACCTCCCTCCATTCTCAAATATACCTAGGGAGATGCTAGGGATGGACTGCAACTTACAAGCCCTTTCTGCATGCCACGAGTAATCTTACCCATCCTCCATCTAGCCATCCTACCCCGAGGCCATTTTCTTTGAAAAAAATGTCCTTCCATTCACACATCCCGTCAGTCACATCACAATCACTTAAAACACTTCTGAGAAAAGCCGGTGGCCCTCCCTTGAATTCATCCAAAAGCCTTCCGATTCATTCATTTGGACCAATCCTTTATCAGTGTAACCAACCCCCCATTATTCTTACATTGACTGAGTTGATGAATGCATGATCCAAGTCTAATAAGTCCTGTCATCATGCTTCACAAAGAAAAAAAAACAACAACCTCACAAACCCACTCACTGCCCAGCAAAAAACTCAGCCCAAGGAAAGCCAACACTGTAACATTTTAGGATACATAGATTAGATCGGGAAAATCCTTAAGCCCATAATAGTAACAGAAGTTATTTTTGCAGTATCATTTCTTAATGTATCCAAATTCCACACTTGCTCAATCTTTTACTTTTCCGTACAGTTGCCACTGAAATTTCCAACCATTGTTCTACGTCGAAAATCATCCGCTTGATAAAAAAAAGCCCCTCGATCTTCTTTATCTAAAGTGGCAATTGTCATAGGCGAGGTATGGAGGGATCATCATTGCAACTTGTTTCTCGTTATAGACGCGAACAGAAAAGATTACTTGCTGTACTCACACGAGTTTGACTTTCGAACAAATGTCCTAAACAATTCCAGAAAGAATTGCTGCGATATCGTACAGATATAAAAATCCGTGCTCATGAACCAATTTAATGGTCGTGCGGGTTGTGTGATCGACGAACAAGGGGATCCCGTTGGTCTTTGAGTCGGTCATCACGTGCCAAGAGACTCTTATTTCAAGAAGGGGTGAGAAGCGAAAATTGGTATATGTACAGCCTCAGCTGAATTTCTATCTATGTGTTATTTGTATCTTCTTCTATCGGTATCAGAATTCGGTGCAGTGTAGCCATGAACGCCATGCTCTATATTTTCTTTAATCAATATCCCGCCAGTAGATCTCTCGGTGGGTGGGGTTAAAATAGAACTCGAGCCGCATAATGGACCTTTGAAAATAGTGGTTGAATAAGGCCGAATTGTGTCTTGGAAATATAAAATTCAAGTCATTCAATGATGTCTTCATATTCCTCTGTTGAAAACCACCTTTCCACCCTCTCCGCCCTTGCCCCAGAATTCCTCCTCTAACGTTGATGCATCTACGCTTTGGCGTTGAGGGAAGGCCGCTAGAGCTAGAGGTAAGGCGAACAGACTAGTACCAAGAATGAGACCCAGATTGATTGGTAATGTGAGTCTAGGGTTTCTAATGAGAAACTGCTTCTTCTGTAATCTCACCAAAATTAAAGCTGGAATAACCATAATTGGAGAACTGTTCAAAACTCGACTGATAGCTGTCTCCGAGACGGCAATAGTGGCTGCTTTCTTGCTCTTGCCCAATGAAGCAACCTCGGACTCAGATTTGCCCTCTGCTGCAAGCTTTACCTTATCCGATTCTGAGAGAACTGGATAGACATCAATGCCTTTTCTAATTTCTTCTCCTCGCATCAAAAAAACATTCAATGCTCCAGCACTTGCAACGGCAGCGAATGGTACCAATCTTCCAAGAATCATCTTGGTGCCTGGGCTGACTTTCTTTAATCTTGGAACGAGAGCATTGAGACCAAGTGCAACTGAGCAAGAAGCTCCAACTGCGAGAAAGTAAGATTGTGCAATTTTTGAGGTCGAGAGAGGTGTGGATTTGTTGGCATTGGCATTGTTGATAGCCACATTAAGAGACTGATTTGTAATTTGCCATAACAATGTTCCTGTCGTCTGCCAGCTGTCAGCAATGGCATATTTCTTTAGAACTTCTGAGAAAGCTTACTCCCAATCCTGGTGTAAGCATTCCTGCTGTGACTACCAAGTTTGATAAAACGAAGCATGACATTCGAAATGGAAGGAAAACTGGAGTGCCAGTATCTAGTCATATGAGCCTTCCATCCAGTACTTTCGCAGAATCTCACAAACCTGGATGTAATGTTGAATCGACAATCTTTTTCGCATTCCATAACTCCGGAGTCATTTCATGGATCTTCCCCTGTTTATAACTCGAAATGAGACTTTTCGCATGCTCCAATCCGGCGCTGTTGACCAACAATGTTCTATTCAATCGTCAGCATATGATGTTGTATACTTCACAACGGCCATGATGAAGTGTCTGAAAGAAAGTGTGAGCACCTTTTTGGTGAAAACACACAACAAATTCCTCCTCACCTAGGGTCTGAAATGGCCGCAGAATGCATCACCCGTCCCCAGTATGTACTGAGATCATACTGAGAAGCGGGCAATTCTCGATTGCCTGGGAGAGAGGCAGACATTGTTCTGGTCCTTGAGTCACTGTTTGGTCTGAAGAAACCTCGAATTGAGGTTGATATAAGACTTCAAAGTAGATAATACCGGGGGCAAAATGATTTCGGATCCGAATTATCAATAGTGAGCCGCTCGCAGATTCATAGAATACATAAAGGCCGCGGAATTCGTGGAGTGAGTCTTTCGAGTTGTCTTTGCGGGAGACCCCAAATTATTTATTTTTGGCGCTCTGACTCCGCTTTCGCTTCACCTGTTTATCGGGAGGGATTGCATTGCTTCTCAAGGAGCGAAGATAAGGTCTCACCACCAAACAAAGCATATCACACAAAGGATTTACTTCTGAACAATAAATATCAAATCATTTGATAATGAATTATGTTTATCATATAGTTGTTGGCGGTTTAGTCATTATATTCTGTTTTTAATCCATTAGCACTGAATAGGCCCTTGCGTTCTCAAGAAGTCTTGACATACAAGAAAGTGCCTATCTAGAGTCTAGAGGTTTATTGATTGAAGGGGTCTAGTAGATACCATTTGTGGGCGAGAAGTGACCTAGGTCTGATTGACGTCTCGATAATGATATTCAAAGCTCCTCGATCCGAATCTGCTGAACACTTGAATGGCCAGTCATGACGATCTTACCAATAGCGGGGAGAGATTGGAAGAGGATATGAGTACATGAATGGCAATGATGCACAAGTAAAGTACACATTATGCCGAAGTACAGATGCATGGTACAGAGAGCGCGTGTTGCGATGCGAATCTCGAAATACCGGTACGATAATGCACTGGGCTACCTACAGGTCTAGGTTTGTTATAGACCTCCGTACATCAATTAACACGCGTTCAATATGCATTTGTGTAGCTATCAAAAGCTGATCAACGCAAGTGTCGACAAGTCAGAGAGCTGATGCATCGATCACCAAAGAACTCATTCCAAATGTAACAGTTCATTCACGGCTTTACCACAAAAAAGACTTGGCATTTACCAAAGCACGATATTGTGTACAAAAGAGCTCCTCTAATGGATTGGTGTCAGTTTTCTGGTCATCCCCCCTCAAATATCTAAAGATGTACCCAGGCATAAGTTTGAACTTTCAACGAACATCCCAAAGTGCGGCATCTGCAGCTTTTACCAGCCTTTAACTCATGTCACGACTTCTCATCGTGAACATGATATGTCAATAATGTACTGTATTGTGTACTGCCGTACGACTTGATCTCATGTTGTAACCAACATGGATGGCGGAACAACCACAACGTTCAGCATTCTCCGGCAGCCAGCACACCAGCGATCTAGAATCACACTAAACGTCCTCAACCACCACTTTCGTATGAATGTCATACTTTAAACACTGTACCAAGCTTAACTCAGCAGCTCATCTCCGTTGCAATAATTCCGGCCAACTTTCAGATATGCAACAAAAGACAGAATAACCAGCACTTGTACAAGCAACCGCCACGGAATCTCAAAGCGAGCCTGTCAACACTTGACACCTGACCATTAGTACCTTTTTGATGCAAGAAAGTGGTCAGGAAAATTGTTATCTTCTTTCTTTTGCCGTCGCCGAGAATTATTTGTGATACCGAAGCCTGGACTCTTCCGCGGAAATCAAAAGATATCTCACTCGATGTTTCTCAACTTGTCCGCGGTATCCGAATTAACATCGGAATATAAGTATATGATGATGTATTTGGCTGAGCAAAAGAACTGATTTATTCGTGATCTTACCTTCGATATTCCGTTCGATACTACCCTCTTGGCAGTATGTGCCGTTCAGTGTTACATTTACCTGCCGAACCCCAAATTGGCCAAAATATTACTTTGTCATATCGGCGAACAACATACTTCCCTTGTATGCCAGTGGAAATTGCGCAATTATGAAAGAGATGCACTCATCTCACCCCTCAAGTGTCTGTCGCTCTCAAGCGAGAAGTAGTCAACACAATTTATGCCTATGGTTGTGTCAGTATTATGGGTCAACCTGGAATGTTACTATTGTACTTGCAGAGAATCCTGTGAGAATTGCTTTCAAGCCTATATAGCTCTGAAGTATATGCTGCCAGTAGGAATATCTCTATGTTCCCGGTTGACCTACAATCTGGCATTAGCCTCTAACAACCAAACGGTCAGTCGCGTTCCGGAGAAAAAATCTCTCGAATGAGAAGTGACCAATAGGAGCTCATACCATACTTGACTGTACTTGTACTCAAGCACTATCTTCAAATATATTCGCCCTCATAGTTGATGTCTCGAGCGAAAACAACCTACCTAATCTACAGAATATATCATACCTAGTTGACGATCCTTTCAAGAGTTGCACGTTTATTTCAATGTGGCCTATTACCCTCTCCAATTTATCTGACTATCATCCGACAGAAAGTCGAAAGTAAAAAAGTTTTGTTGCATATCTGAATTTACGAAAAAGTACTTTTTGGGAGGTTAGTTTTTTGCCCAAAATTGCTTTTGTGCCAATTAGATGGTTCGTTGCATAGGCAGGTTTTCTATTACTTGGCTACTTTTGAGCTTGTTGAATCCCTCATATGAAGAGTTATTCTACTTTCAATGTTGATTAAGCACCTTATATATTTGGTCAGTTAGATAGTCGAGTTTTGTTGTATATCCGTGTTTGGTCGAATACGGCTTGACTGACTTATGGAGACACGCATGATTTCAAGCAACTGATTAACTATCCAAAGTTTTGTTGCACGTCTGATACCAAAAATGACCGGACTTAAAAAGTACTTTTTAACTACCTTCAACTTCAAGCAGCTTTGCCACTCCAGAATAAGATACAGGGATAGCCTCCTGTAGACTTTATATATGCTCTCTGAGATGGTGAATCCAAAGTCTTACAAAGTAACGGAATTCAGAAAGTTTTGCTGCATATCTGATCTGAAGTGCTTGGTGTTGAAAAGTACTTTTTGACAACGTTGAGGAAATTGAGTAAAAGTGTTTGTACTGAGAGACGCAGAGACGGGATACTATCTTTCTTGCGGAACAAACACCAGTAAATTGTGGTCTACGCCAACGAACTTGGAAATGACAAAACAAATATCGTGCCAAAAAGTTTTGTTGCATATCTGAAGTTCAAAAAGTACTTTTCAAGACGGCGAGAAAATCGACAAAATCGACAAAATCCCGTTTTTGATCTCTATTACGACTGACTACAGATATAGACTATTTGTCTTCCGGCTTGACGCGAGCTTCCCATATCGTTTCTATCCGAGATTATCTCTTTGACGATAGCCATATATACCCACCTAGGTGTATAGAAGCGAAAGTTTTGTTGCACATCTACAAAAAGATTCGGTCCTAAAAAGTACTTTTTAGAAACCGAGAAAAGCGACTTGGTCCGCACTACTGCTATCTGATATATAGGTACGAGTCTTATCACCTGTAGCATTTGAATTTTTGACGTCGAAATTGGGCAAGCCTATTAGGCTTTGGTTGCATATCCGCAAAAGTAATTTCTATTATGCGTTCAATGTATCTACAAGAGGGGCCTTACAATGACTTGGAGGTGTGTACAATAAGTGGTCTTACTTGAGCTGCCGTCATTCAGTTTCAGGAGACAAGATACTTTACGGTTGTCATACGAGTGAATATGCGCACGTGAGTGTAATTCCTCTCGCTTTAATGATCGCTTTGCGTATAAGATCCATTGAGCTCGCTGGCTATATATTTTCAATATCTTTGGAATGGTCATGCTGATCTTCTAGGATCATTTGTACAGATCGTTGAATCATAATATGTGGATAATGCCGGCTCGGAAACAAAACGTGGAATACCTTTCCGGAGGACATGGCGTTCTCCCCCAGCTGTTCAAAAAGCTCTATCATTTCTCGAACCTTGTCTTCGCCGCACTCATGTAGAGCATCAATTACTACCATGATGTTATTTCAGTCAACTATCTATAACATCTGGACCAAAAGCTGCCTCAGAATCTTGCTGTCGCTTTGGGTTCTTTCCTCTAGGGTTCCATGACCTAAGGTTGGAATATCCAGAAAATTGTTTTGCTGGTCATCTGGGCATATCTCAAACAACTGAACTAGCAATGACCTGTACAACCCTAAAATACTTTTCTCCGGAATAGTGCCCCGAGCGTTGAAGAAGAATGAGAGCAATGGCGTACCCGGGAATGTTTTCTTCAACTCAAGGAAAGCGAACTTCGTTAACGTGGATTTACCACTTCCAGGTTTGCTTCGAATCCAGAAAAATCTATGATTCTCTGGTAGTATGTTGTCGCTCAGCCACTCTAGGTATACTGAACTTGTGAGTAACCATTTGCAGGTTCTTGAATGGCCGGACTGGATGTTGTTAAGACGATCATCAATTTTATCGAAGCGTAGAAAATTGACGATATCGCTTTTTGTTGTCTGAGAGAACACGGTGCTATGAGCCTCTGGTATCTGTGAATCAAACTTCCTTCACTTCGCGGCTGGCTCTAGATCTTCATTCAGAACTGAGATATTAGTGCAGTGTCGATAAACAAAAGTCAAGTTCAAATTTTCACTTGATAAATTCTTGATAACAAAACTGATGTCTTACCGGTTAGGATCCCCTGGTTCTCACATTCCAGCCTCTCGAATGCCTCTTCCCTCGCCGTAGAATACGGACATGGATATTCCAAAAAATACCGAGCAAACTGTATGCTGCATCTTCTTTTCTTGTCGTAATTCGTTATTCCGCCCACTTCTTCCTATCAGTATCGCCGAATTTTGATAAAGGTATTCCTTGAAGCGCCTCGGTAGTGATACCTGTAATCTCTTGTATCATCAACTTCAAAGAATCTTGATCCCCAAGCCTTTTACCATCTCGCGAAAAGAACTCGACTGATATTGGAGCCAGAAGTTCTTGGAGCGACCATCCTCTTGTAAACCATCGAATTAAGGGATTCCGAAAGCTTGGCGCACTCGATTTTCTGATGCAACAGCTATCCACCCAGAAGTATTTGATATTGTCACATGCAGCCTGTTTTCCACAAAACTGGATCTTTCTATAGCCGGTTTTATCTTTGCCGATACCAAAGGTTATATCTTCAAAATTGACTTCCTGGTCGTCGCTCCCCCATGTATGCGATAGAATGGCATAACAAGGAAGCTGGTGATCCGTCAGATTTCTGGTCAGGCGATATTCACCGTCGTCGTCGGGCTCCAGAAGGCACATTATACGACTTATTAGACTATTGAATGTTCAGTAATACGATCAGTGAGGGTAGAGCACACAGTGAAGAGACAGTAGAGTATTGATATTTCGAATTTAGTCTTGATTAAAGAATATATGGAGGAATTTGTGAAAAGCGCAACCATCGTAAAGCTGTGCAGGGAAAGCTTAGCGCGTCCAGGAATGTCAGCATGTACCTCACAATGGTGATATTCAGATGTTATATCGTCTCCTTCAGGTGATCACTTGCGATGCGCATGTTTTCCACGAAGGGCTGGAATGTTCTCATACGGTCATATTGTAAACAGAAAGATCTGTTGTTCATAAAAGTTTTACCCGTAAATTGACAAAATCAACACGAAAGAAAACAGCGCGCTCAGTAAATAAAGGATGAGATCTGCAGGACACTGCCAGGCTATAGGATTCTACAGTGACAACGAAGTCTTAGGATCTTGTTGAACTACGTTGCATGTAGAGAGGATGATTATTTGGATTACTACGTTCCAAAGAAGCATCGCGTTAGAGATTGGCTTGACGAAAACTTTACGGTATTGCAATGACTTCGACAACATCTGCCTATCTCTTACCTAAGCGCCATATACGCAATCATTTAATATACAAGAAAGAAGGCTGGTAGATGATTTTAGAAACTCAGGATATTGCTGATGCTATAAGAGAAGCTGGGACCGGTGACTGGGATATACAGTGGAGATAAAAATATTCATCTGGTAAGTTGGAGGTGCTAGCACTTCTATACTGCTTGGCTAGGAACATAGCAGTGGCAAATCCTGCCAGAGATGATCGGCCTTGTGATGAGAAGATAATGACTCTAGAGCACAGATGTTTGTATTAGGCTACAATGATGTACTGCAGAGCAATTGCCCATAAGAATGTTTATTAACTAAACACAAAGATTAAAATATATAATTATGGATACTCGAAAATGATTGATCGTGATCATGTTTCAGACACCTATAAATTCTCCGACGTTCAAACCACTGCGAGCCCAGTCCAAGCCAAACAGACCGAGTCTCCTAACGGCCACTTCTACATGCGAACGAGTTGTCAAAGTACGATGCACCATCAAAAATGTGCCATCCGGGCTGATCACAATGTGTTTCCTGCCGAGGTAGGGACAGTGTTCTGTATCGATGAAACTGCAGCTGCCGAGGGAATGTTGGTCTTTCCTTTGAAGAGATAAAGGAAGCTCGTATCTGAGTAGCTGAAGGCACCCGAGCTAGACAGACCATTTGAGACACAGTTACGACCAAGGTACGTCGCGCATTTGGACACATCGGCAGAGTTCGAGCTGAATAGACGAATCGAAGAGCCTGATTGCACCACCGTCGGGACGCTCGTGAAGTAGTTACCTTCGTACAGACCCATGCCATTCTTGTCTCCTTCGAGCAAGTGACCGGAGTTTGAGGACCAGACATTGTTCACGGCGTGGAAAAGTGTGTTCCCAGAAAGTGCAGGGGTGCGACCAGAAGTGTTATAGACGTAATTTTCTGATGAGTGTAGTGGTCAGCTATGTTTTCAAGGGGGGTGAATTTGGGAGAGGCATACTGTAGAATGTAATTTGATCCCCTGATCCTACCAGCTCCATACCCCAGTATGTGTGTCCATCGCACGTAGCGGAGTTTGCCGTCTTGCCATTGATAAAGCTGTTGGAGATTGTAACTGCGTTGTTGGCACCGGTGCCGAAGCTGTAGTGCTGACGGCCGAGACTGGATGTCTACGTTAAGAAAATATTAGTTGGTTTTCCCTTCACTGTCAGCGTGCCAGAGAAAACTCACAGTGACATGATCAATCCATATATTGTTAGTATCACTGAAAGTTAGCGCATCACCACCCCAGACGTACTTGGGGTTAAGATTGGTGATGGCGATATTCTGGATGATGATGTTCGAGACGCCAACAAAACGCAAGCCTTTGCCGTTCAGCGTCGCGCCGTTCTTGCCGACAAGTGTCTTCTGTGACTTGACGTTAATGCCTTGATAACTAGCAGTATCGATAGACACGCTGTATGTTGGGGTTGAGCCGCATCCACCGAGGGTGTTAAGTAGCGCCTGTCCTCCATTCGAGGGCGTGCATGAATAGCTATTACAAGCTGTCAATGAAGTTGTCCCCTCTGATCCGAGAAAATCGAAAGTTCCGGATATGACGATATTCTGGGGCTCGTCTGAGGTGAGGTAGGCCTTCAACTGCGCGATGGTGGTCGGATACACAACTGCTGCACTACCGCCACCCGTGACGGCAGAAGCCATGCCCATTGGTGTGCCTTTGACTATGGAAGAGATAGCCCGCTTCTCAGTGCTTTCGACTGGTGCGGCCACTATCAAAGTACCGAAGGCCGCTAGCATCACAGCCGAAATGAATCTTAAGTTCGTCATCGTGTTTGTTGAAGAGAAGGTAAAAGAGTGTGAGTAGGTTGATTGTTTCGAAAAAGTTGTACCATCTAACGTCAACCGCCGCGACTTTGTACTTTTTCAATTTGCATTCAGTCATCAAGGGTCAACATCCCACAGCTCCCTCAAACTAGCACACATCGGCCAGAACAAGACCACGATGGGCACGTGCACTTCGGCAAATTAATAAACATCAGCCAAATGAGGGAGGGGCACGCTCGCACGTCCACCTCACCCCTAAAACGGGTAATTAGTTTAAACAGTTAATATACTCCAAACAAGATACCCACTCACACCCACACTTAAGCTTAATATCTTTCTAGACACCCAAAAGTTCAGATGAGCCTCTAGTTCTCCCCAGTACGTTGCTTATCTGTACTATATATCAAACGTCTAAGCGTCGTTAGACTCTTCCTCCTACCTTATTACCACCGCAAATACTTTCGTACAGATCGATCGCTTTCGAGATTAAGGAGTGGCTCCACCGATGCAACCTCCATAATTTCGCGAGAAACAACCGCCAGGTAGCTGTAAACATTCAGTTCCTCCGCGACGCTTCGATAATCAAATTCCGAGAAGTTGTCCGCCCGCGTCGGTGAGTTGATAAGTTAACCCACCACTCGGTCTGAATTCTTGGCATCATCTTCTGACATCGGTCAAAAATAGCATGTTATTATCGGGAAAACTATTTGCGATTCGTGCGCAACAAGCCAAAGTAAGTTATCTGTCTAATGCACCCCAGAGCGTCACAATGATTGCGGGGTGCATTCCTTCATGGCAATGAGCCCCCTGTAATACAGGCAGAGATACACTCCCATATACTGCAGAATTCTGTAGCTAATACGGTAGCACTTACTGTATCTAGGTCTAGTAATTTCGGGTGCACCTCCTTCTGGACGGCGAGCCTCGCAATTAGGATTCCACCAATTGTGCGGTTTACGCGCGGTGGATCACAAACCACGATAAAAATACATCTTTTGTTCATATGTACCTAGTTCCTTCCCGGATATACACCTACCAAAAGGACAAAAACGCCGGTCTTCCGCTTGTCACATGCATCTAATGTGTATGGTTCGTATCTGCAAATGTTCATGCAACACCTCCGAAGTTCCTAGCCAATCTATTTCAATCATGTGGTACGTACATAGTACTTCCACTTCCCTCTTTATTTCAGTACCGACTATTTGGACCGAAATGCTGTCCCTCAGGGACCGCCTTTCAAGGGCAAGCATTCCAGTGACATTCCAGCTTGTAGATCTCCGTCCACCACCATTTGAATCCATCTATCCAACCTGAATAGATGAACCTAAAAAAAGCAATTGCCAAATTGAATACTAATCCCGAACCCGATACGACATTCAATATTGTCACATACTTCACTTATCAGGCTAACATTCTCCTTTTGATAACAAACTTGTATAAATAGCAGATTAGTATCTAAATAGAGAAATTTAAATTTATAGTTCGGGGAATCTACTAAAGAGTCGAATAGATCCGTGAGATTGATTTTGTAACTTTGTTATACTTTTTGTTGCGATTATAGAGCTAAAGAATAATTGAGATAATATTATTGATAGAAAAGTATTAGATGAGTATTCGATAGATGATATTTGATCCGAAGAATAAGATATATTTATACTTCTTTATTCTATAAACATAGATAAATAATCTTGAGTTATTAGACTACTAAAGTATACTAAGCGAGAGGACTAGTCTTAAAGTAGATATATAAGAATTACTTCTTTTTATAGATAGCTAGCTCATTATATAGAATATGATATTAATATTTAGAATCTATTATTATAGATACTATATTATTTACATTCTTCTTGAACTAATGTTTATTAAGTAAATATATATATTCCACTTCTAATAATTAATAATAATAATCGCCGGGGAAAAAAGAATTCTCAAACTATATATTTATAGAATTCCTTTTTTCTTATTATTTATTATAAGAATTTGAAATCCTTCGAATTCGTAGACTTTAAATTCTCTTTCTCCGACGATTAATATTAATTAAGTATTTATACTTATATATAGCTATAAAAGATTTGACTCTAAAAAATAATCTAAGAAATTGAACTAGTTTATAATGTTACTGTCTGTTATATAGATACAAGTCTCATTAGCTATAGTATTTGAATTTTTGAAGTCAAGTTGAGTGAGCCTGTTAGATTTTTGATTTCTATCTGTAAGAGTACTTTTGAACATGTAGCCAATATGACTACAAGAGGGGGTCTCCTTGTAGTCACTGACTTGAGGACATGTATAAGTAGTCTTGCTTGAGCTACTCCCATACGGGTTTAGAAAGCTAGAGGACTCCATACTTGTTTTTGGTTCCGCCGGATGTGGTCGCAAAGAACTTAGTAGCTTGCTACAGTCCATGCTTCTCGGTATATATTAATAGGGCATGTTCTTGAAGGAATCCTGCTGCAAGTCTCAGGAGTATTTTTGATCCTGGATAGATTTCTTTACAAGCCTCAGTAGTTGTTCCGCCGTGCTATCACCAAGATCTGTCTAACCTTACTTGCCACCCTTAAAACCTCTTGTTTTTGGACGGTATGAGGGTCGGTATATGGTAATATCTATGGC